GACGTTGGCGCCCGCGCGGGGGTATGTGCGGGCGGGGGGAAGCGAGCTACCCCGGGTTACCGTCACGGGGAGATAAGAGCTGCCTGGGAGTCCACGTGCTCGGGTCGGGGCGGCGAACGGTCCTGGGTTGCTGTAACAAAGTCTTCTCGAACCCTGCAAACCGAATTCTAATTTCTTAAATGTAACAAGTATCTTCATTATCTAAAAAGACTATCAGTGCTACTTTTAGCCTCCTGCCAGAATCCTCTGTCCTTTTTCACAGAGAGAGAAATTTCTATTTCTGGTTTCCTGGAAGTAATTATTTTAAACAAACAGTGTATTTAATAGTAGGAAAAAAATCCTTTAAAATTAATGTTATAGTTTAAAGATGGCAGAAGATGTTCAGTGATGTGCAGTGGAACACAGGCGTCTGCATTTTGGACACACATCATACATTTTCCCATGCAGCTGAAGATGTGAAGATTAAGTGGTGGCTTAGTGCTCCGTAAAGTAAGGCATGACATTAGTATTCCCTGTTATTTAAAAACTGGTCCCACAACAGAGAAAAATTTTTGCAAATCTTCAGGACAAGCTGAACCTCTATACATGTGTAGAATAGACTATGGTAACTTGTCTTTGTGGGAAGTCTAATCTGGCCATCACTGTGTGGCATAAACCAACAGAGGTGCATTAATTGTATTCTTAATACTCTGTTGTGGGCAAATAAAGCTGGAGAAATTATTTTTGTCTTGGCAGTTGTCAAAGCTAGATTTTTTTTTTTTTAGATTAAATTCTCTTGTTTTAATAGAAAAAGAATGGGATAATGGAATTGTAACCAGACCATGAGCTGAGTTTTTGATCGCATTGATCTAAGATTTAAAATATGCTTTTCACCAATTTCTGTCATTGCCTCAAAAGACATTATTTCTTCTGTCTTCAGCACACAAAAGGAAAACAGGTTTCATCAACTGATAAAGTGATTGTTCCATTACCAGTGAAATCATTATGGGGTTTGGTACTGTGTTGTGTTGGACTTCGTAGCTCTGAATCAGCATGTGAGCAAGTTAGTGTTTCCACACAAACAGAAGTGTAAGTCTCACACTGAGTGCTGATACCAAGAGGTATGGAACGTCCCAGTTTCTGCTGGGTGAAGGCTGAGCGCACATTGCCCCGCACTCAGAGCAGATCACAGATGGCATTTTGAATCTATAAATGAAACTGCTGCTTGGAGCAGTGCGGGAAGCATGAAATCAGCACTAACATAAAACAATCTGCAAGGTGAGGCTTTCTGAGAAATAAAGAATTGCGTACTCTCAGCTGCTCCAGTAATAAAATGTATTTTTGTAAGTAGGAAGGACTAGTGACACCAGGGATCCAGACACAACAAGAGCTGCTTGTAAAAGTAGTATTGCTTGTATTTGGCTTTGCCATTTCTTCTTCCATGAGTTGAATATTTTGGGAGAGTTCTTCTTTGAGGCTGAGGTATCATGCATTCTTCTCTCCCACATGGCTATAATACTTCTATGGGTAATAGCCTAACAAACAGCTATACGTAGTGCCCAACACCGCATACCCAAATCACACGTAGTATCATGTGATCGCCAGTACAGACACCCACAGCTGAATCCCATGCTCTGTGAACCAAGTTCAGAAGGACCTTTTTGAGAAGAAGTAGTAGTTGGTATTGGAAGTCGTGGATGTGTTGACACAGGGTGGAATTTTACAAAACATACGGCACTCGCAAAGTGTTGTCTGTGAAGTCAGTGGGAAACTCTCATTGATAACAGCAGGAACGGAGGCAGTGCTGAGCACTTTGACAATTCCTCACTTAAACTTCTTTTTGATAGGGACACAGGGAAGCTAGCTGCAGTGCTGTACAAAATTTACTAAGGTGGTTTGTATATGTAAGCTGCTTCTTCGGTTATTTTCTTGAAGAGTTCCTTGCAGAGGTACGTCGGACCACTGGGACTGAGGCTAGAAAAACGTAAACTGAGCCCACACTTGCAAATATAGGTCAGCCACCAGAGCACATGAAGGCAAGTAAAAAAATAAGCAAGGAAAACTATTTCACAGTGTTTTCTCTCCTCTTGCTTCAGTTCTCCAACACTAAGACTGAGAATGTTTTGGTTCCAAAGCATTTGGGGAAGAAACAGGTGGCAACTCTGCTGCCTACATGTCCTTTTACCTGGTACAGTAAAGACTTGATAATCTCCCCCACTGTCTCTAGGCATGCGGTCAAAAGTCCTTAATAGCAGAGGGTCATTATGAACATGTCCCAGAGGAGCTCAGGGCAGTGCAGCGCACAGCAATAACTGTCTACTCTTTAATTTGCTTTCATGTACTTATTTTTCCTTACACTATTTATCACATCCCTCTCCATCAATCAAAAAGACCAAGCTTTCACCATTAAAAAAAATACATGTCAGCTTTTTTCCGGGATTAAACATTTTGATCAATTTATTTGCCCAGACGCTAATTACTACCAGAGCACCATGACATTTTAACTGTATGTTACAAGGTAGCTTACTTGTACCAGGCATATCTCCTGCAATTTCTGAAGGGAATATCTTGATATTCTTGGCAAATAACACACAATAACAAGAACTGCAGCTTGTAAAATCTGTGATAGAAAGTGCAAACTTCTTGGGGTGAGCATCAATGCCACTGTTATTTGGAAGATATTGCTTGGGCAGGCAGGCCTTTAGAAATACTTAAATATTTCTGTAAAAAGCACTGAAAAAATAAGATTCATTCCCATTTTGCATTTTTGTTCCCAGCTCCATGTGGTCAAAATGAAACCAGAGAAGATGGCAAAATAATCCAGCTACCTCCCTGCAAGACAGGAGCCTGGATCGTTCCTGCCATCATGGCCTGTTACCTCTTGGTTGCAAACATCCTTTTGGTGAACCTCCTCATTGCTGTTTTCAAGTGAGTGACGCATTGCAAAGTATGGACTTGGGGGACAGTGAGGAGGGAGCCTAAGAAGGCTGCTAAGCTGAAGACTTTGGATGAGACCCATTTTCAGAGGATGTCAGGGTGAGAGGGAAAGAGGCAATAGCTTGTCTCCAGGGAGTGAGGGAGATGCCAAGTTCTTCACATATTGTCTCATTTCCAAGGACAGACACCCGATGGGAATCAGGGCAGACAAGCCAAAAAAATTAAAGTTCAGTTATGGCATCATTCAGTCCCAATATGGAAAACACGAATACAAATACTTTCCTGTCTTGTTGGCTTGGTGTAAGACTCAGTGGTTGTACAGAGCAGAGGTACACAGTGTTAAGATGCTTTGAAATGGCTGGTTGCCACTGTGCCTTGCTGAAGCACAAACTTAATAATTTCTTTTGTTGTTCTTCCTTTTTTTGTGACAAGGAAACATTTGCCACTATTACTGAAATGTGTCTAGTTAAGTTGCTGTCATATCATCTTCAGCAGAGTACCCAAAATCAATTCAATCTGGTGTTATTTTCCTCTTCTTGCCTTCTAGCAATACATTTTTTGAAGTCAAATCCATATCAAACCAAGTATGGAAGTTTCAAAGATACCAGCTAATCATGACATTTCATGAAAGACCTGTTCTCCCACCGCCTCTGATCATTTTCAGCCATATGACTATGATATTCCAACACCTCTGCTGCAGATGGCGGAAGCATGAAAGCGACCCAGATGAGAGAGACTATGGACTAAGTAAGCCTTAGACAATCTACAGAGTGGGACTTTCTAATGCTCTTGGTAATATCTAGTGTTTGACATGAATGAAGGCTAAACCTGGCACCTTGATAATCTTTCCCGCAGAGAAAGTTACTTTTAATTGCAGAAACCTTACCTGAATGGTTTAGTTTTACCTGCATTGCCCAGGTAATTAGTTCTCCTCAAAGCATTAATGAGGATGTGTTTTTCTGGGATTTTTGGAGGTTATTCCTCCCTTTGCTACTTCAAAGCAAAGAGGTTTGTTTTGCTGTTTGACCTTTTGCAAAAAGGTCTGTAATTACTGGAACTCTTCTCACAGTCCATCACACTTCCAGATCTCAGTTTTATTTCTGAAAGTACAGAGAGAACATTCCTACTTTTTAAGCAAACAGCACATACTTGCCCCCAACAAGCTTCTTGCCTAGATAAGCTGAGAGATGGTGAGAATTAATTATTTTGTAGACACAGGTTCTCTCCTTGACACTGACTCAAACTGGAGGAGTAGCTTCTCTGGATGCCATAATAGGAACTCCCATGAGCATGATGAAAAACCCGTCAGATTATTTTGATAGCACTTTCTCTCTTCTTCTCTATCTAGTTCTTCAAAGTAGAAGATTTCCACCTCCCCCAGTGTATAGGCCAGAGGCAGGGAGCTCAGGGAAGTGCATGTCTTCCCAACATTAGCCCGTGCCACAGCCCGCTTCTCTATGAGGAGGGAGCTGGAGCCATGTGGTGGCACGGGAGATGCAAGTGCAACCAGACTGCTCTCCTCCCACTCACATCACACTGTCTGCCACAGCCCTTGCTGCTGCCTGCAGATACCAGGTCTTGCCACGTCAGATAGACCCTCCGTACTCTCAGGCTGCTTTCCTAGCAGTCTGCTAATTGGGTTATATTTGTATTTGGTTACAGGTGGGCTTTGGCTCCCACCATCTCTCCAGGACCTGACCAACAGCTGTGTTTAGATCTCATGCAATCAAAACACATTCATCTTTGCTCAGCATTTGCCTGCTTAAGTGTTTCTGTCTCCAGAATCACATCTAATTGAAGCCACTAATTTCGTAATTAGCTGCATCTATCTGCTTTCATACCAAAATGCCAGATAAATTTGAAGCCTGCTTTAGAAAGTTTAGTCCATTAATTCCACAATGAGAAGAATGTAGTTAATTTCACATGTTAATCTTTGCCAAATTCACATTTTTCCATTGTTTCCACAGAACTTTTCATAACTGAGGATGAATTGAAAAAAGTCCATGATTTTGAAGAGCAGTGCATAGAAGAATATTTTAGAGAAAAGGATGACAGATTCAATTCCTCCAATGATGAAAGAATCCGTGTCACTTCAGAAAGGTGCACTATTTTGTTTGTTTTCTCAAAAGTTGATCTGGAAATGTGGTTCTGTTGCCATTCTTACCCTTCCTTTCTTTTCCTTGAAAAGGGAAACATTTGAGGCATTTTTTAATAATTCTTAACTAAAAAGTAGAGTGAAAAAAGGTGGTGAATTTCTTTTCTCTTTTTTGCTAAAGCAAATGTTCCTCAAAGTTTTGAAAACATGAATCTTTTAACCAGTTGTGTTAGAACACAACTGACGTAGTAAGAAACACAAATTATTCTCAGCTTTTAGTTCTTAAAGCAAAACTTCAGGTCACAAGTGGTCCGAACACAATGGGAGAGTAAATGAGAGCTCCTCAATGAAAAAGATGGCTTTAGCACTAACCTGCTAGGCATTCAGATAAAGAGCGAGCCTTGTTTCATGATGGCCTTGCTAGATAAGCTAGTTTTATTGAAAGCAGCAGGGCTTTTGCCATTAATTTCAAAGGGACTAGACATTTCACCCATGGCAATGAAATGTACAGAGGACAAAGGTAATACGTTAATTTAGTGCAAGTTGCCAGTCTTCAAATTCATCAGTCCTAAAAATTCATAAATCTGTTGATCTGCTGAGGTGCTTATATGCTTTCATCACACAGCAGCTGAGCAACAGTTAAATTCTGAGGATGGTGTTTGTTGTTTGATTCATAGCACTGCTACCAATAAATATTTTAGGGCAATATACTGTCAGATATTCATAAAATTTATGAACCACTGAATACTCCATTCCATGAATACTCCACTTTAACTTGAATTACAGAGGTCAGGTGAGTTGTCATTGTAATCGATTACACAGATATAACACTCTTCCCCTTATACATAATCTTGTAACACTCCCCCTGATGTAGCTATGCCTAAAATATGTTTTCTGCAGGCAAGGAAACATGCTTTTAATTTGGTTTTGAAATAAATCTATCCCAGAGCAGGATTGGCAGATCTATCCTTTAATCATCTGCATTACTGAAAACAGCACTCCTAAACCACATATTTTAGAAAAGGGTATTAGAGGGGAAGTGTGGTAAGGCATCCTCATAGAGAATGGCCAAGTAACCCAGCGCTACTTGGTCAGGAAGAGACAATGAGGAATGAAATGACAGAGGTGTATATAATTATGAGTGCAAGGAGAGGGTGAGTAGAAATCAATTGTTTACTGTATCTCTCAGAACAAGAGGTAGGTGAGCAACAGATGAATTTAGCAGGAGCCCAGGTTCAAAATAAACAAAAAAGGGTGATTTTTTCATGCACAAAGTAGTGGAAAAGAGCAAATTCTTGAAAGCTGATGAGGTCTAAAAGAAGCTGGTGGTGTCAGCTAAAAGCCTGCATGGCTTCAAATGGAGACTAGACAAGCTTATGGATGAGAAATGCAGCAAGGGCCGCTAAATACATAGAGATCATATTGAGCCCATGAAGTTCCTGAGCAGAAAATGTTTACAGACGGGAGAATATGAGAGGGGAAGAATTACATAACTTTCAAAGTAAGATAGTGGCTAAATTGATTAGTGGTCCAACTGAGTACCTTTTTGTCTTGTGTTCTGATAGTCCAGTGGTCAGAGAACTAACCTGAAAATCATAGATGTGGGTTCAAATCTCTGTTCGGGCATAGCTTTCCTTTTGGTGGCCAAGAAAAGAAGAGGTATGTTTGAAGACTCTGTAAATAAGAAGTAACCTAGCTGGGACCTCCCAGGTCCTTGAAAATTAATACATAACAGTCTGCCTTTGCACCCTGTGCTGGCCCTGTTTTACAGGAAAAGTGCCCTTATGTCTATTTTAAATGAACGGCTTAAAGCACTTTGTTCCAGAAGAGAGTTCATGATTATGCATCCTAAATGACAACAAGCACCTGAGCCCCACAGAGAATTAGTTCTCTAAAAATCCATTTACCTTAGCCAGTAGTGTAATGTGGCAACCCGCATATCCCAGTTCTGTAAGGGACACCCAGGTAGCAACCCATGGGGTACAGAGGCCACTCCTGGACCCAAGAACACTACTAAGACTTGCAGCAATGAAATCCCAGGTGAATGCAGTTCTCATCTCATAGTAGCTCTCTTCTCTCCTTGCCAAACCAACTGCAATGCTGTACCACACAAGGCAAGTGCAAACACTTCAAAGATCTGAGGAATACTTTAACGATGTTTGAGGAATTGGGGCTGAGTATCTTAAATAACACGTGTTAAAAACTGAATGCCCAGGTCTGCCATTTTGCCTGCAGTTATGACCTGGAAAGTATCCCTTGAAGTGTTCTTAATCTAAAACACCAAACTTATTTTTTCTAACCTGTGGAACTTTGAAATATTTAAAATCCAGATTTGCACTTTGTACAATTAACAAGATGTAAAGCAAAGTAATCAGAGAAGATGCCAGACTACACAATTTCTCTTCCAATGTCCAGTCAGCCTGTAGGAACAGGCCAAGCACAATACCTACATTATAGCCATGATTACATGCATTTATCAGGTTAGGCATTGGTGAATCTCCTGGAGACCCATGAGGAAAGGGAAGTTGGACAAATTTACTTAATTGCAGTATAAGAATCACAACTTTTCCTGGAGACTCTTCCTTCCTAATCACTGTGAAACTTACAGTGGCGCATTTTGACCAGCACAGAGACATGCATGCATAGTATGATCAAAAAAAATGCACTATTTTTCTTGATCTGGCATGAATCCGCTAAAACAATCTTTTCAGTAGGCATTTTTTCCATATTGACAAGTCTCGACTCTTTCAAGCTCAATGCAAAACCATTTGTTGATTCCAAACAGAGCAGGGTCACATCCTAATATTTAAAAAACAGATAAGCTGGTTGGAGTAGATACTATTATGTTGTCTTTGGTACTATATGGTGCCCATTACTACAGCACCTTAACACTTTATAGTCTGCAGTGCAATTACACTAACAGGCATCCATGTGAATGAAGACGTGGTTATTATCTTGATTTCAGAGATGGCAGCTGAAGTGCACAGAAATAAGTTTGGGTTGGAAGGGCCACTACTGAGCGTAGTAGATCTGGCCACACATGCAGAGTGGCAGTAGGAAAGGTCTGTGAATCTGACGGCATCTCTCTGTGGTCACAACGGTTTAAGTGGTCTTAGGCTCCAGATGGGAATGAAGCCAGGACAACCCAGCGTCCTTAGCCTGCAGAAACCACTGCACCTGGGAAAATTGGCTGGCCACTTGCATCAGCAATGGTTTACCAAAAGATGTCAGGCAAAATACCAATAGCCTGTTACAGACTTGGGAACATCTGTCTCTGTTTTATTTAAATAAAACCATTTCACAGCCACCTATAACAAGCAGTGACTTTCAGTGTCTGCAGTCTTTGTGGCAGTTGAAAAGGATTTTCAAGTATAAATGATGCCTTAAAAATGGACAAAGGGACTTGTGAACGTGATTCTAGCATTCAGTTAAGAGGTCTGCTTCTGAAAAGAGTGCCTTACTCCCATTAAATCATTACTTCAATTAAATTATGTGCAAAGGTAAAAATAAATACAACCAAAATGACTGCCAGCAAAAGCCATCGTCTCCCAAACCATAATTAAAAAGGCTCTTCACGGGTAATATAAAATCTTTGCCAGGTTCCCAGTTCTGATCTTTTTTTTTTCCTGGTTAATGGATATTGTCCTCAGATAGTCCATGTTTGTTTCATTATTAGAAATTTTTGAGCTTCAGCAAAATACACGTGATGCACATTTTACATGTAGACTCCTCTTTTTCTGTTCTCATTCCCATCTGTTAGAATGGCTTGGCACCTTCTCATACACTGGATAAATCCTGCTGTAAGGAAAAGCACAGGTGCAATGGAAGCATCATACATGGATATTGTGAGATTTGCCAAAAGGTTCATAGTGTCTCCAACACACATGGGGAAAAAAATACAACATAAAACTTGTGCATTCTTATTTCAAAATAATTGTTTTAATTCAAGATAGTTCCTGAAGGAAATACAGCTCTAACTTTCTATTCACTGAGTGCAAGATAATCCAACAATAGGCAAAAAAATAAAATTTCACTTATTAAAAATTTTTAAGGACACAATTATGACTGTATTTCTCCAGAACATATCTTCTTATGTCCGCAGTGTTTGGCTGACGTGATTTTTTCTAGTAGGATTACTTCCAGAGAATGGTGCTGTTCTGTGTGATGAATGATTGCAGAACTGAACATCAAATTAATATAAGATAATATCACTAATTAAAAGAATAAATATTTGTTAAAATATCTGGAATTGGCCATGTGCAATATGTATAACAAAAGGTGACTAAATTGAACTACTAGCTTTGGTTTGGAGGAGATCAGCTTCACTCAAGCTTTCTTTTTGTGAATAAAAATATATAGTCAGGGCCCATCCTGTGTAAATACATATATGTACTTCTCAGTTATCTGTGCACATCTCTGGTTACTCCTGGTTTCTGAACCCAGACTGCACTATTCTTATCTAGTTGAGTTTCTGTGTAAATTTCCCACTACTACCAATGCAATCTGTGATTACTTCCATAGCAACCAACAGACCATGTAACTCAAAAGTCTCTCTTTGTCTTGGCCAGTAATACCAGCAGTCTTACACTTTGTGCCTCTGGCAGTAGCTAACAGATCATGTTCAGGCAAGGTGGGACAAATATATGAACATGTACCAGCAATGGTATGTCCCTACGTTCTCCTTTGGATGCACTAGTTGTCTTCAGCAGCATTTCATAGCCCTCAACGTGAATGCAGGATACAAAACTTACTCGCTATGGATAGTTCTACTCATATTGCAGATACAAATATGTAACCAAGTGCAATAATTAAGTGGCTATGTTTGTTTTACTTCACTTGTGTACATCTCTTAAAGGAGGCCAAAAAAAACCCAAACACAAACCCAAGACTATTCAGTTAGCTTCACAAAATATTAAAAATTCATTCCAGTAACTTGGGTCAATTTTTTTGTTGGTTGTAATCTGAGCATTCTCAAGTAAAATCCAGGAGATTTCTCAAGTTGTTCCATATGTCTGACAGCCCTAAAATGTGATGTTATATCCATTCACCATTTTGGAACAGTTGTTACAGAATCTGAATGTGTGATGAGGCACTCAACTAGCTGATAAATATTTCAAAAGTGCAATTGTTTTTATAAAATACTAGTTCAAATAATAACTTGAGGGAAAATTCAACTGCTTCCCATATAAACTGCTCTCACATTATGGAATTATATTCTGTGCTTGCAATAATCTTAATCTGTTTTGTTGGAGAAGTTGGTAGAACTAGAGGTAGACTGGTGCCTAAATGATAATGAGTAGAATGAGATTCTTTGAAACTACCAATTCATTTCTTAGCAGTGATTACTAGATCATTCATCTATTGAACTCTGATGACAGCAATATAGCTACTGCTTCACATTTGATTTGCAGTGCTTGTGCTTTCAAAACTCATGATCTTCAACAGAAAAAGCCCATATTTCACAGCAAAGTGAGACTTGCTGTAGGGAGTGGTGTCACACTCCTCCCTCTCCGCTCTTGTGCGGGCGGGTTGCTGTTGCTCATCACCACGAGGGAGTCAGACCTCAGTGTTTCACCAGCTAAAGTTCCGTGCATTAATTAACAAGGCATTAATGCTGCCCAATACTCATTCATTGCTAAAATCCAGTTTCCTTCTGCGCAAGTAAGAGTATTTATGGTGTTGCCAGCTCCAGGTCACTTGTCCTGTTGGAAATTCAAGTAGCAGTAGTAGAAAATTATATCTATCTCATCAGAAATCCTGGCTATGATTGACAGGGTGCTTATTAACATTTGAGTATGAATTGCACTAACAGGCAGAGAGTAAGAGACTTGTGAAGAGAAAAGTGTGGACATCCTGCCATTTGGTATTTGTCACTTCTCTGTTCATTTTTCAGTGTCTACAGGAACGGAGAAAACCAGAAAATCAGACAAAAATAACTACATAAATGTGTTGCTTTTAATACTACTTTGGCAGATAATTGAAGGTCCCTGGTCTACTCTAGGGACCACAACCAAAGAAAATAATTATGAGAAGAAATTTCAGATGTGCTAAAGGCAATTTCATTGTGTAAACTTAGAGGAGTCCATATAAATCCTTCAGTAGAGACCTTTTAAAAGGCAGAAAATCGAAACAGCTGAAAGCTACCAGCATAAATTAGTACACAATTCACCTTGAAGTTGAAAACATTTTAAAATGAGACAGATCAACAGTGTAGAACAGGTATACTGAAGTTTAAATTAGGATTACGCATTCAATTATTACCTATTAATATGTCAATGTAACTTTTTATTTATATATTATGATAGGTAGCTAATAAATAACTTTAAAATTCACCATTTCAAGACCTAAGCCTTTAACACAGACTACCCAAAGCACAATCACAGTAATGGAGCAATCTTGGTGTGTGTACCCTATTGCAGGCTGTATTTGGTTTCATCAGTGTTCTCCTCCCTGCAGTTTTCATGCATACTGTACTTGTTATTACCTACATTCAATACAACTGCTGAATATATATCTGAGCCAAAAATTAATCAGAGAACAAAGAAACTGTCTCCTTAGGTCCACATAGCACTAGCTGGTGTAAATCTGAGGCAAAACACCAGGAAAAAAAAAAGGATGTTACTCGCCTTCTGAGTGTGGCATATTGCCCACTTTAATTACTTCATTTAGTTCTGCAGTTAACTGCAGTGGTCCTGCCTGTGGCACAACTGGGGACGATGTCATGTGGCATCTGCTCTAAGTATTATTCATTCCTAACAACCTAATTAGAAGTTTAGGCAGCAGAGAGGCAGGAAATCATAGGTAACATTTCTGTAATAACCCCTGCCCCTGGGATAGGGCATACCCAAAACCCCCCTCTACACAGCAGACACCCCTGATTTAACCCACTGGAGCAGTTTCCTGATCGAGTGGTGTTTGTTTGCTGAACCTCTTTTAGCAGGGTTTTGAAGCGGGTGAGGTGGTGTAGATTGGCTTTGAACTTTAAGACCTATTTGTTCCCATTTGTTTTGGTGACCTATTAGCTGAACATCACTGCTTTGCAGAAATTAACCTGTTTAATTCTTCCCTTTTTTAAGGGTAGAGAACATGGCCATGCGACTGGAAGAAGTGAATGAGCGAGAGCACTGTATGAAGGCCTCTCTGCAGACCGTTGACATTAGGCTTGCTCAGCTGGAAGATATGATGGGACGAATGGTGACTGCCTTAGAAAAACTGACCGGCATAGAGAGAGGTGAGACAACCAAGATACGATCCAGGACCTCATCCGACTGTACTGATGCAGCCTACATTGTGAGGCAGAGTAGCTTCAATAGTCAGGAAGGAAACACTTATAAGCTTCAAGAGAGCATAGATCCCACAGGAGAGGAGTCCATGTCCCCAACGTCTCCTACAATCACACCCCGCATGCGAAGCCACTCTTTCTATGCAACAAATATGAAGGACAAGTGTGGGTTGGAAAAGTTTGAAAGCATTTTTAAGGAAAGATCTCCAAGCCTGCATCGGGCTATCAGTTCCCACTCGATAGCAAAAGAAGGGAAGGTTCCCTTAGCCCCTACCAGCACTTTGTCAATTGCCCCAGACTCCAGAAGGCCTTCGTCTTGTATAGACATCTACGTCTCTGCCATGGATGAGATGCATTCTGACACAGAGCCACTCGACAGCTCCATAAATATTCTTGGTACTGGAGATGCAGCTCTGCAGGCTCATATAGCCTCTTCCATTTTAGCTAACAGTGCATACATTAGCAGTACACCTGGTGAAAAAATTTCTGCCAGGAGTCTTGATTATGAGGAAACCTCTGGAATAGAAACAAGAGCATTTTCTTCAGACTATTCGCAAATCACAGATTGCCAAATCCCCTGGGATTCAGACCCTCCTTTATATCACACTTTAGAGCGATCTAAAAGCAGTCGGTATCTGGCTACAGCTCCATTTATTCTGGAAGAAACGCCAATTGTGAAATCTCACAGTTTTATGTTCTCTCCATCTCGAAGCTACTTCAGCAGCCTTGGCGTCCCAGTCAAAACAGCAGAGTACACAAGTATTACGGACTGCATAGACACAAGGTGTGTGAGCGCTCCCCAGGCCATCGCAGAGAGGGCCAGTTTCCCTGGAAGTCTCGGGGGCAAAGTGGAGGACTTGGGATGCTGCCACCCAGAGAGAGAAGCTGAACTAAGCCACCCAGGTTCTGATCATGAGGATACTGAGGCCAAAGACAAGAAAGGGATCCCCTTAGCTTCTCAAGACAGCAATGCTACAAGAACTCTGGCCAACAGCATCGCACTTCCAAAAATAGAGAGGGCCAACAGCTACTCTGCAGAGGAGTCGAACATGTTGTATGCACAACACACACGTAAGAGCTACTCTATCAGCGACAAACTTGACAGACAGCGAAACGCAACAGGCCTGCGAAACCCTTTCCAGAGGAGTAAGTCCTCGCGGCCAGAGAGCAGAGGGGACAACCTGTCCATGAGGAGACTGTCAAGAACGGGAGCCTTCCGCAGCTTTGAAAGCAAGCATAGCTAGGCCTAGACAAAGCTCACTGGCAGTCTAAGGGTCATCTGCTCTCCAGTCCATTTTTCTTAGCAGAATTTACAAAAAAAACGAACATCACCCCATGTCAACTCCAGATGGCATTAGCCACCAGACAAGGGAGCACATTGTCAGTCTCAGCATCGCCCACTGAGTTACTGCATCTTGACCCAGTTGACATTTGCACTTAAGGAAAAAGGGAGGGATGAAAGCTTTACAAAGACTTCAGTAAACAACAGGAATAACAAGCCTCCTTTATGAAGTCACAATAAATGAGTAGGTTCAGAAATCTGCCTTTTATTAGAAGGCATCCTAAGATCTTTGATCATTATTCAAGTTTTCGGGATGCAGGAATTAACTGGCAAAAAGAGATGTACAAATTAGATGTTCTAAACTTCAATCACAACTTCTTTTTCATCTGTTTCACCGTTGTGATGACTGATGAAAAGCATTTGTTATTTCTGTAGGAACTGGCAGCAAACAAACCTAAAGTCTCCCAAATCCCTTGCATCCCACACTTGTGGAAATGAAGAAAGATGAACAAGATAACAACCACAGCGTTCACTTGTCTCTTTTTGTATCACCTTCTAGTGCCACAGAAAGTTTATATTTTCAAGAGCAGAAAGGGAAATGAAATGCCTTTTGTACTGCAACTTAAATGGAGGAAGAATTTCTGTTAAAATATCAGGTGATTTCCTGTATAAAACAGGCATTCTAGATTCTAGCACAGCTGAGCAAGCTCAGGATGAATGTAATTAAGCGGAATAGTATATATTTATTTTTTTACCACATTTGTCATCAATAAGTTGTCTCACTAAATCAAAGGATATGATGGAACAGTAAGAACAGGGTGATCAGAGCAGAGCACAGCACTATTGTCAGGTTCTCACTGCTCCGTTTAATTACATACACAAATTGGGGAGATTATCCTCCAGGCTGCTTACCAGGCTCTTCTTGCTGTTCCATCTGAGCTGCCGATTTTTCACATTATTCCCTCACCTAAAAATACACACTTTTTTTTTTCGTGAGGACATGGCCGTATTTGAACATTTCAAAGTATACAAGATTTATCAAGCAGTCTGAATCCAGATTAATGCAAGTAGACTGAAGTTGCTTAAGGGAAAATGTTCTTGGCAGAGGACTGGAAAACACTAAAAAGTATATATACGCTTTTAAGGTGAGTTAAAGAACCAAAGTGAAACTGCAGGTGTCTGTAAACAGCAAAGGCCATCAGTTCTGACTAGGCTTCTACCGTTCAGCAGCACATCACACAACGTGGATTTTAGTAGGAGAAAGTATATCTGAACGGTAGTGCAGTTACGGGTTTCAGTTGAAGACAGTTGTAACTCCACTGACTCCACCCACGTTCCAAGGGTCCACAACGGTCAACCAGAGTTTCAGACTTCTCATGAGAAGATATCACAATGGTCATAGGTGGAAGGGTATGCAGAAGATAGGAAAAAGGTGGAGGAGCATAAACTGCAACTGGATGCAAATTTCACATCCTTTATGAAGGCACAACTTCTAGGCTTCTAAAGAGTTGAAGCTAGTGCTATTATAAATTAAAACATCTCTACAATGACCAACATCTGTGTAGAACCAGCTCCTTTTTGTTATTGAAAAAGAACACATGCGAGTGGGGTACATATTTCCCATTATTTAAATCAGAATTACCTTCCAAATCTCTAAGGCAGCTTTGAAAATGCAGGCTGATGTTTTCTCAGTGGGATCTCACCCTGGGAGACTCTGAGCACCATATGAGAGCTAAGCCTGAAAGGCAACAAATCCAGACATAAAAATAATCATCAGCCTCAAGAAAAGAGGCAAAGGTGAAAACATTTAGGTACCGAGTCACCACATTGGAAAGTTCAGGAAATAAAGAGATGCAGCACGGGGACTTTAAGCACAATGTGTTTCATACTTCTTGCACCGATGCATTCCTTGCTTTCTTCTGTTTGATCAGGCTTTCAATGAGCTACAGGCCACCAAGACACCGCGGTTATGCAATTGCCTTGCAGCCCATGTGCAGCCTTACGGTCACATGGCAGCACCGAGAGAGGTCAGAAACCTTCCTGTGCGTTATGAAGCACGCTTGTCACAGGCTGGTTGTTGAACAATGGCAAAACGCCCAGGGGCAAAGGAACTTGTGTTTAACAATCTGCTTCAAATGTGCCAACTTTTGTTAGCAGCCTGTTCCTAAGGCTTCTCCAAACCTATCTATCCTTGGTGAGTAGAGGGGGATATTCTCACTTCGTATTCTTTGTTACTTCTACGAATGTCTGCTAAAACTGTTCGTGGACTCTTCCACCTTCACCGTATTACCGGCCTACTCTAGAGGAACTTCAGATTCCTTAGAAATTCCTCAGCAGCGCTTAGTGAATTAGTTCAAGGCATAGGGCTCTCCTCTGGGGTAGACTTCATTGCTTAGTTTGTCAGGGTAAAGGAATTTGCCAAACCCAGAAGCTGTATAAATGTTTAGGATACAGCACTTTATTGATCTGGAGCACACATTCCAGGTAAAATGAAACAGGACACTTTATTTACCTCTTAAAATTTGCCATTATATATAAAATGTAAATTCAGATGTTAAAAGTGTGATTGCAAGATGTCAGAACACTACTTTTCCTGAATGTTTCCCATTTATTCTGCAACGTGGTGTCTATAGAATATATTATGATGGATGTTAGATTATTTTATCTTCACCTGTTTTTTACACATTGCATCAAACTGCTCCGTTTTGAATTTGATGGTAAAACACCCATTCCTTGCAATGGGACCAGGTTTCCCTCTCCCGATATGATTATGACCATTTAGTGAGAGTAGAAGCCTTGTCATCCATCACCATGTAGCTATAGCATGTGCCATATGACATATTCTGTATCAAAGGTTAGCTTATGAAATAGATATATATACACACATATATACATATCTCCCATATGTAAACCAGTATAGTTGTGACATGTGGTAATATTAGTGAACGTTACAGGACAGTTTTAATATCACATTATAAGGTCTTGTTTGTAAATCTGTAACATTCAATAAAATAGCACATGTTGCATCGAGCATTAAGTTCCACTATCCAATTATTAGCTTACATATGGAATATGCATTTCTGGTCACAGTGTGTAAGTTTGGTATGTTTCACACATTTATCTGTATAGCTCCACTTAAATGTCTGTATGAGCTTATGTATAAACCTTTAATGAGCCACTGTGGGCTGTGACAGGTGAGTTGTAATAGTGTGAAAGATGAACTGGCATGTTATGCAAAAGATTATAAGATAATGAACTTTAATAATATTTTGAAACTCAGCTGAACTTAGCTGTTTGTTTACATATGCTGGCCAACTGAGGAAGCGGTGTACAGTATTTTATAAATATTTTCCTATAGTAATCCATTCTGTTGTTTCCAGTTTAAGTGATGCTATTCTACAGTTGGGGTATACACTTGTCCTAGGTATTGGATTATAGCACATTATTCTTTCACAATAACGTGTGATATGACTGAAGTAGTTTCTCTTCCTTACAGTCCAGTCTTTTTTTGTGTCAATGAAAATGCATGCATTGTTCCATGAGTTTCTTTGGACTACTATGAGACTTAACATTTTGCTATTGCCTGCCTGTAAAGACGAATCCAGTTAGGAATGAATTCAAGCTTTTGGATGTTTACATTATTTCCATTATGTTTGATCTTTAGCAAAGTAAGTGATTTTTTTATTATTTTTAAATGACAATTGTATTTTATGAAATTGAAATATTCAACACAAAATGCGAACCTACAGCAGTGCTCAAACATTTGGCTCTCTCTTTTTTTGGAAGAGATAAGGTGCTACATTATTGTTCTTAGCACAAGTGCCAGTTAACAAATGGCAGTGAGGGGATAATTTGAAAATATAATGAAAAACCAAAACATCCATTCATCCACATAAGGAAATCCCTCTGGGTTCCAGATATAGATTGCTTTTTTTTTCATTTTCCATTTATAGATTTTTTGGTAAAAAAAAAACAAAACAAAACAAACAAACAAACTGATTTGTACCTTTTGTGGAATGGATAGCCTTTTGTCAGGGGATAAATATCTTAGTTAGGTATATTTTTTGTATGAGAAGAAAATGATTTGTTTCTTAGAAACTGTCAGCGCATGCAAAATGCAACTACACAAATAACTGCTCAGAAAAAGTGCTGGTAGCAGCACACAGCCTTAGTCCAATGACTGCAGTCGGAGCAAACAAGTATCTGTCCTGAGAGCAGAAGTTATCAAAGGTATTAGCTTAGAGTGAGCCAGTGAAACAAAATTCTCTGTAAACTCATGGTGCAAATTTTCAAAACAAGCCTAAATGTCTTGTTGTGTTGCTCAGGTTATATGCTTAAGAGAATCTGATAATCACCAGAAGGGAAAATGTGAGCTGGTCATTCCTGGATTTCCCTAGGAATACTTAAGTAGTTGTGATGTCTCTCCCCTGCTTAAAAATAATAGTATCTTTGCATTTTTGCACAAATAGGCACAACTGTTTCAACAAAGACCACATTTTCAGTTCTGTTAAAGGATACCAGGTATAGATCACCTTCTTCAAAAGAAATGGGAAAGCTTCCTAGCATGAGTTTTCCCTCGTCCACCTCAACTAAGAGCACAGTCCAAAGCGGGCAGAAGTAAAGCGTCGGGGGTGCCTGCTTACCTAATGAAACCGTTCCTCTAGGTGGTATTCACCGGCCTTGCCACGCCTTGGCATGAAAGCAGCAGCGTTGAATGTGAAGGGACTGAGTTTCTGCACCCCAGTGAGAGTTACCCTGGGGTTGGCTTTATATTGGCTCTATAGCCAACCACAGGGTGAACATGACAGGTCACGCAGGCTCCTCTTCTCTGAGACGGACTACGATTATGGTCTTACTGATGCTGGTGCAAATCTGCAGAAAATCCACTGATTTCCATGGAGTGCTCTGACTTTTGTCAGAGGATGGATTTCTTCTGCATTTCTAACTCTACATTACTTTGAG